CATCTTCCCAACTACCTACTCTCTCTCTCTCTCCCTAACTACCTTCTGTATTTCTCCCCCCCCCATCTACCTATATACCTACCTACCTACCTACTCTCTCCCTACCTATCTACTGTTTCAATATATATATATATTTCTCTCTCTCTATCCCTCTACCTACCAACCTACCTACTCACTCACTCTCTCCCTACCTACTGTATTTCTCTTTATCTCTCTTTATCTCTCTCTCTTTCTCTAGTTCTCTCGCTATCCCTTTATCTACCTAACTACCTAACTACTCTCTCTCTCCCTACCTACCGTATTTCTCTCTCTTTCTCTGTCTCTCTATCCCTCTATCTACTACCTGCTTTTAAAAAAAATTGCCTCTTCAAAACCTTGGTGTGCCTTATAATCTGGTGCATCTTATACTCCAAAAAATACGGTATTTTGATTCCTCAGAAATGTATATTGCAGGTGGTCTTTGACTTATGAAAATTCAGTCAGCAACCACTTGAAGTTACAGCAGAGCTAAATTACATCTCTCTCTCTCTCTCTCTCTCTCTCTCTCTATCTATCTATCTATCTCTATCTCTATCTATCTATCTAGTGTGCCACCCATCTTGCCAATTCCCTCATCCACTCACCTATATCTAGTCAGATAGTAATGAACTTTGTATTCTATCTTGGTATTTGAAAAATTACAACAAGCACTGTAAGTAACACATCATGAAAGTATAATATTAAAATAGAATGAACCAAAAGTTTTAATTAATGTTTAATTAATGTTCACCTGCATTGAAAAGGGATTTTTTGATTCTGGGTCTATTGCAAAGAGCTTTTCCACCAATTCCAGCTTGAACTCACTTGGCATCTCATTATCCACGCTGAAGCAATAATCATTTGGAGGACTATTAGGCTGTAAAAAAAAATCAGCAACTTTATTCAGTAAAATGAGACCAAATTTTAAGTGCACTATCATAATGAATCCAATGTCATGGAAAAAAGGTCTATTCATTGAAATTTTAAATCACTAAGCTCCTATAATTAGGATGAGGCCCAAAAAGATATATAGATTGGAATAATAAAGCTCACACAATCATTTTGGCACATAGCTCCTCACATTTTAAAACTGTATTTAAAAACATTCTTAAGGCTTAGGAAACAAGGCTATACTAATAAAAGCAAATGGTCAAATGCAAATTCTGTATCTCAGAACAATTCTTAACTGTCAACAGAAACAAATCAAAAGAAGGAGGGAAATGAATTGTTTTAATCTTTAGCTGAGCAAAACAATTTAAAACTGTTACTACACTGTTTGGAAAAGAAAAATGTGAAATAATAGTTTTATTATTTCTAATAAAAGGTTTTTAATTGGAATTCTCATGCAGCACAGAGTTCACTAGCAAAGATTCAATCAGTTTTTATTTTCTCCCTATATCCTCTTCTGGTGTTTCCTAAGAAATTGACCTCATACAAGGTCGATAGTGCATAAAATTGAATACATAAACAATGGAAAGCTGCAAAAGATTATTAAAAGACAAACCTCAGGTGAGCTTTGGCTAGTGCTTCCATCAGAAGGAGTAGCTGGTTGATCCTGGGTCCGGCGGCTGGAGAAAGTAAGATCTAAGGGCTCCGTGCTGGGTTCCAGTTTGGCCACCACCTCTCTATTGAGTGCTGGATCAGCATTGCTACAGAGGGGCTTTGTTGTTTCAGAAGCAGATAGTGGGGACATTGCCAAATTTATATTCTGCAGTTTCTCACTGGATGAGGGGAGCATTACGTCATTATACAAAGGAACGTCATCAGATGGTTGATGTTCATCTGGCTCTACAAATTTTTTAAAAAAGACATCATCAAAAAAAGAAATATTGAGTCACCAATTAAGAGCCTTATTATAATTCTGTATATGCCAAGAACATCTTTAAGAAATTCTAATGGTCAGCATTTATGGATAATTAGACTTTTTCTTTAAATATTTGATTAAATATACACATACCATCGTTGTTAAAATCTAATGCAATGATGGTATCTCCAGCAGCAGGAGCAAGATAGACTAATGCATCAGGTTCCTTCTTAAGTTTCTCAAAGAGGCTGCTGCTATCTTCCAGATCACTCTTGTTGAGTTCTGTCCTCATTCCCATCTCAGGAGAATCCACTGGTTTCAACATACACTCTGTTTGCTGAAGTGAAAAAACCAAGTCCCGCTGAACAATTCCACTGCAAAAGAACAAAGACGGAAAGGATAAAAGAGATGTTGAGAGCTGCATAATGCACATTTATTTACAATGTATGTCTATTGCATAAGAAACATATATTTAATATACATATTTTGGGATTATACTGCTGTCAAGGCAACAGGGCATTTATCCTGAGCATTTATCACAGTCTCTGCTTACTGAAGAAAATTCTGGATGTAAATATAGATGGTGAAATATCCAAAATGATTAGGTTTTGCACCCTAAAATAACTTCTAAAAATATTTCATAATTATATATTGTAGGGAAATATTAGTAATGAACAAACTGTCCACTAGAAAATGATTCTGCTATTGTTTTTCTTTTCTTTTGAGGCTAACTGCATAACTCTGTAGATGCATTTTTAAAATAATAACATAACATTCCTTTGGGAATAGGTATGAATTCAACTGAATATGTTCATGTACACAAACTTATAAAAAATGGGAAATGGGCACCATTATTAGCCTGAAAAGAGTCAAAAATATAAATGTGAGAATGTACTGTATTTTTCAGAGTATAAGATGCACTGGAGTATAAGACGCGCTAAGGTTTTGAAGAGGCAAAAAAAAAAAGTTTTTGCACTCTGCAGACCTCCCAAAAACGGCCCGTTTTTCACCAAAACAGGCCTGTTGTTTTTCAAAAAAAGGGTATGAATAGCCTTTAGGAGGCTTGTAGAGTGCTCTTGGGGTGTGGAGCCCCACTACGAGCAAAAAATGGTCTGTTTTTCGCAAAAAAATGGGCATGTTTTTTTGTCAAAATAAAAGGGCATGCATAGCCTTTAGGAGACTTATAGAGTGCTCCTGAGGGCTGGGGGCGGCATAATTGAGCAAACAATGTCCCATTTTTGCTCATTTCTGCTCTCCCCAGCCCCCAGGAACACTCTGAAAGCCTCCTAAAGGCTCTGCACAGCCATTTTGGTGAAGGGGGTGGGATTTCGGGAGGCAAAAAATGCTGTATTCAGTTTAGAAGACGCACCTAGATATTCAGCCTCTTTTTTGAGGGAAAAAGATGCGTCAGACTCCAAAGAATATGGTAGTTTAAAAATGTATTAATCCAGAAAACTCATCATTTCAGGCAAAGCTTCTAACCATCTAATTTGGAGAATGACAGGGACCAAAAATTGGAAGTCAATTCATATACAAGTACCAAAGAAAGGAGACTTAACACAATGTACAAAATATTACACAATCTTTTTAACTTTGCACACAAATAAATGTTTAGGATATTCAATACAGATTAGAACCCAACATAGAAAGGGACATGTCAATGGTTCAAGCTGGCTTTAGAAAAAGCCAAGAAATTCTATACATGGACTGGAGAAAGAAAACGTATGAATGGCACACATGCTTATTTGTTGCGATAACTACATTCATGATCAAACTCTGATGTAAGTTCTCGAAGTATAAAGCCTCCAAAAGGCTATGCATGCCCTTTTTTTGACAAAAAACAGACCCATTTTTGGAAGGTCTGCAGAGTGCAAAAAGTTTTTTTTTTAATTTGCCTCTTCAAAATCTTGGTGCGTCTTACACTCCGGTGCATCTTATAGTCCGAAAAATACAGTATTTGCACTCCCCCCCCCCAAAAAAATAGCATTTACAGGCAAAACTTACCTCAAGACATAGTTCACACACACTATACATTGTGGTTGAGAATTCTTAGTATTGTATATAACAGTTGCTTGAGTCTCTACCCAGACATAGCCTCCTTGCTTGGCAAGCATTCGATACTGTCCGGTGGTGACTTGCCCTTTGGCAAACACTGGAAGAAGAAAGAGACCCAAATTATTTATATACTGAAGACTGGGTTGCCCAATAGGTTGCCAGACACTCACTCAACTCTAATTGGCCTTGTCATTTTTTAAAGCAATTCTTTTCAATGAAAATAATGGGTGGCCAGAATACTGCAAAATAAAGTTCCAGCCTCTTAAAACATCTTTATTCCCAAGAATGCTTTTAACATTAATATTTTCAATGTTAAGATGGGAATTGGGGTTTATATTTGGGTTTTATTTTTGCAAGCTGGCTGGATTCACCCTGACTTGGGCAATCATATTTTTAACAATAATAAATAAATAAATAAATAATTGTTTTTTAAAAATTAAATGGTGATTGGAACTGGGGACAATGTAGGACATCTGAGTAAGCTAAAAGAGATGGGAAAGGATTATAGGAGTTTTGATTCACCATGTGCACATATATGCTTTGTTNGGTATATAAGTCTAAGTGCTATTGCTATCCAAATGTACATCACTTAACCATGGGGATGCTGCAACAGTCATATATGTGAAAAATGGTCATAACTCACTTTTTCAGTGCCTTTATAACTTCGGTCACTAAGTGAACTATTATAAATTGAGGACTAGCTTCAGTATTCATAAAATCTTCTAAGAATGCTACTTATCAAAAGTTACCTGATCCAGAACCATATGTCTCAGATCTTCTGAAGGGAGGGTATAACAATACCCTCTTTGCAAAGCAAACCTACTCTTTTGACCTGGATGAACTGGTAGTAGGATCACTAATCAGAATTTTATACGATTGTTGTTTGAAGTTGCAGAGTGCAAATTAAAATACATAAATATATTTTAAAAGATCAGTAGAAGTAAATAAAATAGCAGATTACTAAATACAAAAAAACAGAATACTTAAAATCTAAATGGAAAAAGCCAGTTAACTAAATTATAAAACTACATTATGAATAAAATAATACCATAGTGTACTAAGCTACTAAGTGTCTATTTGTGTGTATTTATAACCTATTGTGATCAGTGACAAATGAGATATAACATAAAAAACAAGGCAGCCTGCATTCTTCCACATCGACACCCTTAGAGGTTCTGGTGGTCTCCTATCCCACCATTAAACAAGACCCAGCTCTGAAGCATCAAGGCCATAGCTGTAGTCTACAACTCTGAGGCTGTAAGTAGTAAAGGATATTGTTAAAGGGCAGAGCTAAGCAGACCTTTCATGTACCTGACAACTCTGGGCTAAAAATTGTAATGTTGCTACAAAATAACAACCTGATGACTCAAGAAAAATACATTTTTAAACATGCAATACCCAACATTAAAAGAAAGGAGGGGAGAATCCTTAAAAAACGTACAATTCCTACTGCCTGGAAAAGCAAGCCGTCCTGCTCCATTTTTCGTTTCCTCTGAATATTATGAAGAGCTATTATCCTTGGATTGATGTCTTCATTCACTTCAGTTGATCTAGTGTGGAATATAAAGCCAGAGGGTTAACAACTCTTCCAGATCAATTAAAACTAAATTTATGAATAATTCTATAGAATAAAATCTAGACTGTTTTCTTTTGTAATAATATTAGCTCATCAGGGTTTAGGCCAGATGTGAAAAATTATTTTCAGCCAGGAATTGTACTGTCCTTCTGTGCTTGGAACACACTGCTGATGACATCCTTAAATGAAAAGGACTGAAATTTTCAGCTCAAGGTGTATGTATGTGCATTTTATGTGGGCTACACGGAGTGGACTTAGGACTTTCAAACTCATAGAGGCTATCTATGTCAAAACTGAACAACCCTCCCTCAACAGAGGGGGTCCAGGGATACAACATCATCCATCTTCAGTCTACAACAGAGTCCTTTCAACACTATGCACCACTCAGGTGACCCTGACACAGATAAACCTCCCTTAAGGTGGCCTTAATGACTCGCTAAACGATTGCAAATGACCAGCTGTCTGCAAGGAATATAAATCCTTCCATTCCCCACCATCCAGTCGAAGCTGAAGAAGCTTCTTGGATGAGAA